GGGACCCCGGGGTGACAGGGACTGGGGTGACAGGGACTCCGGGGTGCAGGTTATGGGGTGGCTGGGACCCCGGGGTGACGGGTATGGGGTGGCCGGGAGTGGGGTTGGCAAGATCCTGGGGTGCAGGACAGGGGGTGACAGGGACCCCGGGGTGGCCGGGACCCCGGGGTGACAGGGACTGGGGGGACAGGGACTCCGGGGTGCAGGTTATGGGGTGGCTGGGACCCCGGGGTGACGTGTATGGGGTGGCCGGGAGTGGGGTTGGCAAGATCCTGGGGTGCAGGACAGGGGGTGACAGGGACCCCGGGGTGGCCGGGACCCCGGGGTGACAGGGACTGGGGGGACAGGGACTCCGGGGTGCAGGTTATGGGGTGGCTGGGACCCCGGGGTGACGTGTATGGGGTGGCCGGGAGTGGGGTTGGCAAGATCCTGGGGTGCAGGACAGGGGGTGACAGGGACCCCGGGGTGGCCGGGACCCCGGGGTGACAGGGACTGGGGGGACAGGGACTCCGGGGTGCAGGTTATGGGGTGGCTGGGACCCCGGGGTGACGTGTATGGGGTGGCCGGGAGTGGGGTTGGCAAGATCCTGGGGTGCAGGACAGGGGGTGACAGGGACCCCGGGGTGGCCGGGACCCCGGGGTGACAGGGACTGGGGGGACAGGGACTCCGGGGTGCAGGTTATGGGGTGGCTGGGACCCCGGGGTGACGTGTATGGGGTGGCCGGGAGTGGGGTTGGCAAGATCCTGGGGTGCAGGACAGGGGGTGACAGGGACCCCGGGGTGGCCGGGACCCCGGGGTGACAGGGACTGGGGGGACAGGGACTCCGGGGTGCAGGTTATGGGGTGGCTGGGACCCCGGGGTGACGTGTATGGGGTGGCCGGGAGTGGGGTTGGCAAGATCCTGGGGTGCAGGACAGGGGGTGACAGGGACCCCGGGGTGGCCGGGACCCCGGGGTGACAGGGACTGGGGGGACAGGGACTCCGGGGTGCAGGTTATGGGGTGGCTGGGACCCCGGGGTGACGTGTATGGGGTGGCCGGGAGTGGGGTTGGCAAGATCCTGGGGTGCAGGACAGGGGGTGACAGGGACCCCGGGGTGGCCGGGACCCCGGGGTGACAGGGACTGGGGGGACAGGGACTCCGGGGTGCAGGTTATGGGGTGGCTGGGACCCCGGGGTGACGTGTATGGGGTGGCCGGGAGTGGGGTTGGCAAGATCCTGGGGTGCAGGACAGGGGGTGACAGGGACCCCGGGGTGGCCGGGACCCCGGGGTGACAGGGACTGGGGGGACAGGGACTCCGGGGTGCAGGTTATGGGGTGGCTGGGACCCCGGGGTGACGTGTATGGGGTGGCCGGGAGTGGGGTTGGCAAGATCCTGGGGTGCAGGACAGGGGGTGACAGGGACCCCGGGGTGGCCGGGACCCCGGGGTGACAGGGACTGGGGGGACAGGGACTCCGGGGTGCAGGTTATGGGGTGGCTGGGACCCCGGGGTGACGTGTATGGGGTGGCCGGGAGTGGGGTTGGCAAGATCCTGGGGTGCAGGACAGGGGGTGACAGGGACCCCGGGGTGGCCGGGACCCCGGGGTGACAGGGACTGGGGGGACAGGGACTCCGGGGTGCAGGTTATGGGGTGGCTGGGACCCCGGGGTGACGTGTATGGGGTGGCCGGGAGTGGGGTTGGCAAGATCCTGGGGTGCAGGACAGGGGGTGACAGGGACCCCGGGGTGGCCGGGACCCCGGGGTGACAGGGACTGGGGGGACAGGGACTCCGGGGTGCAGGTTATGGGGTGGCTGGGACCCCGGGGTGACGTGTATGGGGTGGCCGGGAGTGGGGTTGGCAAGATCCTGGGGTGCAGGACAGGGGGTGACAGGGACCCCGGGGTGGCCGGGACCCCGGGGTGACAGGGACTGGGGGGACAGGGACTCCGGGGTGCAGGTTATGGGGTGGCTGGGACCCCGGGGTGACGTGTATGGGGTGGCCGGGAGTGGGGTTGGCAAGATCCTGGGGTGCAGGACAGGGGGTGACAGGGACCCCGGGGTGGCCGGGACCCCGGGGTGACAGGGACTGGGGGGACAGGGACTCCGGGGTGCAGGTTATGGGGTGGCTGGGACCCCGGGGTGACGTGTATGGGGTGGCCGGGAGTGGGGTTGGCAAGATCCTGGGGTGCAGGACAGGGGGTGACAGGGACCCCGGGGTGGCCGGGACCCCGGGGTGACAGGGACTGGGGGGACAGGGACTCCGGGGTGCAGGTTATGGGGTGGCTGGGACCCCGGGGTGACGTGTATGGGGTGGCCGGGAGTGGGGTTGGCAAGATCCTGGGGTGCAGGACAGGGGGTGACAGGGACCCCGGGGTGGCCGGGACCCCGGGGTGACAGGGACTGGGGGGACAGGGACTCCGGGGTGCAGGTTATGGGGTGGCTGGGACCCCGGGGTGACGTGTATGGGGTGGCCGGGAGTGGGGTTGGCAAGATCCTGGGGTGCAGGACAGGGGGTGACAGGGACCCCGGGGTGGCCGGGACCCCGGGGTGACAGGGACTGGGGGGACAGGGACTCCGGGGTGCAGGTTATGGGGTGGCTGGGACCCCGGGGTGACGTGTATGGGGTGGCCGGGAGTGGGGTTGGCAAGATCCTGGGGTGCAGGACAGGGGGTGACAGGGACCCCGGGGTGGCCGGGACCCCGGGGTGACAGGGACTGGGGGGACAGGGACTCCGGGGTGCAGGTTATGGGGTGGCTGGGACCCCGGGGTGACGTGTATGGGGTGGCCGGGAGTGGGGTTGGCAAGATCCTGGGGTGCAGGACAGGGGGTGACAGGGACCCCGGGGTGGCCGGGACCCCACGGTGACAGGGACCCCGGGGTGCAAGTGATGGGGTGACAGGGACCAAGGGACACAGGGTGGCCGGGACCCCAAGACACGGGGTGATAGGGATGCCGAGGTGATGGGTACGGGGTGACTGGGAACAGGGTGGCCAAGGACCCCGGGGTGCAGGACAGGGGGTGGCCGTGACCGGGTGATGGGTACGGGGTGACGGGTACGGGGTGGCCGGGAGCAGGGTTGCCAAGATCCTGGGGTGCAGGACAAGGGGTGGCCGGGAAGGGGGTGGCCAGCACCCCAGGGTGCAGGACAGGGGGTGGCAGGGACCCCGGGGTGGCCGGGACCCCGGGGTGACAGGGACTGGGGTGACAGGGACTCCGGGGTGCAGGTTATGGGGTGGCTGGGACCCCGGGGTGACGGGTATGGGGTGGCCGGGAGTGGGGTTGGCAAGATCCTGGGGTGCAGGACAGGGGGTGACAGGGACCCCGGGGTGGCCGGGACCCCACGGTGACAGGGACCCCGGGGTGCAAGTGATGGGGTGACAGGGACCAAGGGACACAGGGTGGCCGGGACCCCAAGACACGGGGTGATAGGGATGCCGAGGTGATGGGTACGGGGTGACTGGGAACAGGGTGGCCAAGGACCCCGGGGTGCAGGACAGGGGGTGGCCGTGACCGGGTGATGGGTACGGGGTGACGGGTACGGGGTGGCCGGGAGCAGGGTTGCCAAGATCCTGGGGTGCAGGACAAGGGGTGGCCGGGAAGGGGGTGGCCAGCACCCCAGGGGGCAGGACAGGGGGGGGC